GCGGAGCAAAGGGGCTGCTCCACCCCCTCCGCGGCGGGTGCTCTGCCAGGCAGAGCTGTGGAAGGAAGGGCGGGCGCTTCCCGGGACCGTTTGGGTCAGGAGGGACCTTTTTAAAGGCCACCCGAGCCGCCGTCCGACCCAACGCCGAGCGTTCTGCTCCTTCGCATCCCAGCTCGAGGCCGCAGGAAAGAGCGACGCGTCCTCTGGCCGCTTTTCCTGCTTTGTAAGCCGACTGGCAGAAGGCTGGTCCCCGAGATCCTGCCGCGGGGCGACAGCGCCGTCCCCGGCCGCGCAGAGCTTCGCAGAGGGGCGGACGGGATGGCACCACCGGTGGCGACCAGCGAGGGGCACACGGAAGAGCCGAAGATCTTCCACCGGGGTCCGTAAAGGGTGGCCGACTCGCCCCCCCCCGTGGGGCGCCAACCCTGAACGATGGCAGCGGCAAGTTCACAGAACTTTGACCCGTTTCATCAGTTCGATACCAACGTCTGGACCGGGGCCGGGCTTGGTAAAGCCCGTTGGGGCCACCAAAGGATCAGCAACTCGCAATTCTTGCTGTAGCTTTTCCTCCTCTCTTTTGCTTCGGTAGCTGATACTCCCAGAATTTTTTCTCCCTCCTCCTCGTTGTTGGCATCTATTAATGGTATCTTCAACTTTCTCTTCTGGCAACTTACATTTAAATACAAGCTAATGAGCAGTCCAACTTTAACCTCTTCCCTGCCTCACGCTACGTTCAACCATCTGCCGCTCCAGACTCCGTTCCAACGCCACACAAACCAGCAACGCCGCGTTACCACGAAGGCGCTGCTTTGTGTTTTCACCGTGTCCTGCCCCTGAAAGACCATCCGGTTTAAGGACGATTCGGCAACCAGGGCAGAGGACACCAGGGCACCCTGCGGCCGGGCCGGAGCTCACTCCACCCCCGGCGCGAGATCTCTGTCCCCTGTCGCTCTGATAAACTAAAGTCTGTGAGTTCCAGCGGAGCACAAACCCACCTCCGAGGCACAAAGACCTCCTCCTCCTCCTCTTCCTCCCCGTCTCATCACACCCTTCCTCGCTGCGAGTGCTGCCCCG